AAACCCCACTTGCTTAGTTTCCAACAGACCTCACAACCTCTGAGGATGCTTGCCATAGATGCAGGTGAAACATCAGAAGAGAATGCTTTTGGAACATGGCCATACAGCCCAGAAAACTCACAGCAACCCATAAGACAAATGGTTTATTATTAACATACACATAAAAGACACTTGATATTTAAAATTTGTGAGTCCTGCAATAATCAATGATACATTAGATTTAACTTATTGGATCACTGCAAATTGTTTGGGGAAATCAGGAAACACTCCTACCAGTTCACTCTCACTCCTTATGTGAAGGACTATACTAGTCCTGCACCACAACTGCACCACTGAGCCAGGACATAGGGGAGGATTACATTGTTCTTCCCTCTCTGACAACTCATCTATGCTGCATTCTCCAAATGGAAATAGCAAGCAACAAAGGGTGTATCTACACTGTAGAACGAATGAAATTTGAACCCAGAGACCTCTTTTTCTTTCTAAGCTTACTTACTATGCGGATATTTCTTCTTAGCCAACCTAGCGCCATCTAGTGTTCAGTCTTGAACTTGCAAGCTTTAAAAAAAGACTGGGTTTCACATTTTCCGTTTTTGACAGCCCTCTGGTTCTGGCCTGTCCAATAAGCAGAGGAGGCCTTCAGCTGTTGCTTTTTCCCTGCTTGCATCCCTCAATGTCCTCTTCCAAGAAATGAAAAGGGTCAGAGGACGTTGTGCTGCATAGAGGAAGGATGGATCTCAGTTCCTAGCTAAAAAGTCTCTCTTCCATGTTTTTTTCCAGCCTCCACAGAGGTGCAAGCAATATGAGAAGACATTGTTATGCTGTTGGCATCAACCGAATGCTGCAATTGTCTAGACCTGTGTTTCTCAACATGAAGGTCAGTACCCCCGTGGGGTCACAAGGGGGTGTCAGAGGGGTCGCCAAAGACCATCACAATATTTTCTATTTGTCATGGGGGTTCTGTGTGGGAAGTTCAGTCCAATTCTATCGTTAGTGGGGTTCAGAATGCTCTTTGATTGTAGGTGAACTATAAATCCCTGCAACAACAACTCCCAAATGTCTATTTTCCCCAAACTCCACCAGTGTTCACGTTTGGGCATATTGAGTATTCATGCCAAGGTTGGTCCAGATCCATCTTTGTTTGAGTCCACAGTGCTCTCTGGATGTAAGTGAACCACAACTCCAAAACTCAAGGTCAATGCCCTCCAAGCCCTTCCCATATTTTCTGTTTGTCATGGGAGTTCTGTGTGCCAACTTTGGCTCAGTTCCATCATTCGTGGAGTTCAGAATGCTCTTTGATTGTAGGTGAACTATAAATCCCAACAACTACAACTCCCAAATGATAAAATCATACCCAACCCCACCAGTATTCAGATTTGGGCATATTGGGTGTTTATGTCAAATTTGCTTCAGTGAATGAAAATGCCTCCTGCATATCAGATATTTACATTACGATTCATATCAGTAGCAAAATTACAGTTATGAAGTAGCAACAAAACTAATTTTATGGTTGGGGTCACCACAACATAAGGAAATGTATTAAGTGGTAGCAGCATTAGGAAGGTTGAGAAACACTGGTCTAGACCAAGGTTAAAGGTTTGCCCTGACCAGCAGTGCAACGTGAACCACAGATACATAAATGCTATTTCATGCACTACCACTTGTACAATGGTGAAACTCTGCACTACTATTGAAGTCAAGCACTGCAATCCACTACCATTCTAGACCTTTTTTTATTCTTCACTTAATTCACCATTTTCCTTTGAAACAAAATCAGCAGGGTTCAGCACTTCTTTTTCCCCAACGTGCTGTCACATTTAGTTGGTTTTTAAGAATGGCATGAGAATTAAACTGTCTTTAATAATGAAAACACATCTTACAGCCTTGCCTGCCACCAACATGAGTGCTTAGCAATCTATTGTAACACTGCTCTTGGGGGGGGGGGGGAGAGAGAGAGAGAGAGAGAGAGGATGGAATAACAGTGTAATAAATAAATCAAAATATAGATGTGGTAATCTGGCTTCAGTATGAGTAGGATAGACAGCCAATGTAATGTTTCCATTAAAAACCCATTACAATACATTGTGTATAAACCATCCAGTGTACTTCATTACTGTTCCTGGAAACCAAACAAAGAAATATTGCTCTAATGCAAAAATGTGGTAACTGGCTTTGGCAGCAGTTTTATTTAGTTGTGTAGGTACATGTACACATGTGCATGTGTGAATATGCTTGATAGAGAACTTATTGCCTTGAGTTGAATGTGGCACTCAGTAGGTCATACGGGAATGCATACAAACTGTAGTGAATTCTTTTCGTCATGAGTATCAGTACAGTATAGAAAAGCTTCATCCATAAACACATGGTTTCTTATTTTAAATGTTTTATTTGTAGTCATGTTTGTAATTCCATATTTTCCTCCCACTCAAATTGAGATGTTCAAAAAAGTCAACATTATTTATAATAAGATTTTTAAAGAACAGAATCAAACAGTAGTCCATTAAAGAGGCAATGCAAATAAATCAATAAACAAATATTCATATTTCTCATATGTTATGATATCTTATTTCTAGACTATGCCTCTTAAACATTGGTGGTCAAGCCATCATGAATCCATAAACGACTTGTGATATATTATACTTCATGTCTTCTTTATTACATACTCTCAGCCGATTGTTCGACACCCGTTTGTTGTTGTCTTCCACTGTTAGATTTCTATGGTTGTTCAATACAATTAGGGAAATAATAATACTTAAGGAAAAATAGAAACAGTAGAGTCTTGCTTATCCAACCTTCGCTCATCCAACGATCTTATCCAATGCAGTCTGCCTCTCGCTTGGATCCACAGCTGATTCAAGACATTGCGATGTTTTGGTGCTAAATTCGTAAATAGATTAATTACTACAAAATGTTACAGTGTATTGAACTGCTTTTTCTGTCGATTTGTTGTAAAACATGATGTTTTGGTCCTTATTTTGTAAAATCATAACATAATTTGATGTTTAATAGGTTTTTCCTTAATCCCTCCTTATTTTTGCTTATCCAACGTTCTGCCAGCCCATTTATGTTGGATAAGCGAGACTCTACTATAATCATATGCAAACTAAAAAGTTCAGAGCTCAGATTCGAGTGCTAGGCAGGTCGTGCACAACAGAATCCAGACTCAATGATTCCCAGTTCAAATAGTACAAGGTTTGATAATGTGTGGCCCTTGCAATGTAGAACTTCAGCCCTAACCAGAAAAAACCTAATTGTAGAGGATAATGGGAAGCAGAGTCCAACAACATCTGGAGGAGCACATATTCAATCTCCACCACTGAAAGAAAAGGCACAAAGCCTATAGATTAATAGCACACATTTCAGCAACTTGTACAATAAAGATAGAGATGGGAAAACTTAACAGCAATATTTATGCTTTTACAAGAAATGACATGAGAAAATGCACAGATCATTAAATTGGGTTTCATTATCAAAAAATTTTAAAGATAATTTCTTACAGGTGAGTAAACAGGATCAGCGTGGTTAGTACTCGGATAAGAAACCATCAATGAATGCCAGATGCTGCAGGCAAAATTTTAGATGAAGGAATTGGCAGAACTACATCTGGGTATGCCTTGCCTAAGAAAACCTATGAAATGCATACGGTCTTCATAAGTCAACAGACAACTTGAGAGGACATTGTTGTGGTTTAGGGGAGCTTTCCCTTGCCTTCCTCTGAAACTGATGCCCCTTCTATACTGCCCTATATCCCAGGATCTGATCCCAGATTATCTGTTTATCCCAGATTATATAGCAGGGGAGACTTATATAATCCAGTTCAAAGCAAGCAACCTAGGATCAGATCCTGGCATATAAGGACAGTGTTGAAGGGGCCTGAGAGGATGTGACTTGGTCAATGTCACTTAGAGTGCCTCTACACTCTAAAATTAATGAAATTTGACACTTTGACTGCTATGGTTCAATGCTATGGATCTTTAGCCGTCTCTGCCACAACAAATTACAACTCCCATGCTTCTGTTGTATTGAGCATGGCAGTCAAAGTAGTGTAGCTGAACCTCCAGTAGGTCTATCTAGTTGAAAAGAGATATGAATTCTCGTCTTCAGAGTTATAGTCTAATGCTCAGCAAGTACATAATGCTGGCTCTAATGAAGACACAGCAACACAATCACATACAAAATGCTTTCTGCTTTCAATCATCTCTTTTTGTAATACCAATATCTATTGGAGACCACTATGAACCTATTTAAATCTCAACACATTTCAGAAATATGTCTTTTCATTTGAGCCAATGTTCTACTGGCCCATTTATGTTGTATAAGCAATACTCTACTATATTTCTAAATACTCATTCACACACTAGATGTATTAAGTTCATCATATAATATCTCGAAGTGCCAACAACCCTTAGTTACAGCCAACAACATTTGGAGGATTACATGATTCCCAGTCTTGCAATAATTTGACCTGAATACCTGCCAGATAAAACTATTAAAAGCAACAGCTTTTAACAGTTTGATTTTAATAGTTACCAGGGAGTTGTTGCATGAGGTCTCCTTTCTCCTAGACATCTGTATGAGACAGTGGTAGGAAACATTTATTACATAATTCCTTTCTTTGCATACTTATCTTATCAATAACATTTTCTTTTTCAAAAGAGTAACAATTTGAGCTTGTTGATCAGTAGGGCTAGATTCTGCCGTCTGCAGCGGAGTTTTCTTCAGGCTATTGGTAGCTTGTAAATTAACCTTTTCTCCAGCTGACCAGTTGACTAGTGTGTTTACACAGTTAAAATGACCAGTTTTGCAAGCACAGTGCAATGGGGTATCTTTATTGTTGTCCAAAGCATTGATGGCCGAGCCATTACTCAAGAGGTAATGTATCATATCACTGTGTCCATATTCTGCTGTAAGATGCAGTGGTGTCTTTCTCCAAATATTTTTGTCATTGATATTTTTATAGTTCCCAGCAACCAACAGAGCTTTCAATGTCTCCATGTTACCACTGATGGCTGCATAGTGTGCAGGGATGCAGCCATCCATGTCCTTGGCCCCAAATCTAGACTTTTTAGCCAATAGTGCTTTTACGGTGCTAAGATGGCTTCCTATGGATGCAAGATGTAGTGGTGTTTTTTTCTCTTTATCAGTTGCATTTGGATCAGCGTTTGAACCAAGAAGAAGTTCCACCAGAGCAGTATGTCCCTTTTCAGCTCCAAGATGCAGAGGTGTCTTTGACTGTTTATCCTTCAGGTTGACCTTGGCCTTGTTCTGCAATAGCTTCTGAGCAACCTCAGTATGTCCCTTGTAACTTGCAAGGTGCAATGGAGTGTGCAATTCTTTAGTAACTGGATCTATTTTAGCTCCTCCTTCAATCAATACATCTACCAAGGCTCCTTTACTGTGAAATGCAGCAACATGGAGGGGACTTTGATCTCTCTGACCTGTGATATTGGGATCCATTCCTTTGTGTAGGAGCATTTTGGCAATGGAAGTAGCTCCAGCTTGAACTGCCAGGTGTAAAGCACTTCTTGAGTCAGGGGTCTTCTCTTTCAAGCTGGCACCCTTTTCAATGAGAATTTTAGCTGACTCCATCTTCCCCATTTCACATGCCACAAGCAATGGTGTGTACTGCATTTCGTTGTGAGCATTTATGTCTGTACCTCTTTCGATTAAAGCAGCTATGATGCCATGAAGGTTTTGCTCTACAGCTTTAAAGAGAGCTGACACCATTGTTTCAGGTGACATTTCATTGGCATATTCAAGCAATAACCTGAAGAGAGATTGGTTGTTGCTATTAAAGGCAACATCAGTTATGCTGGAATCAACCTTGGCTCCACCTTCCAGCAAAACTTTGACTGTCTTCTCCAATCCCCGAGACACAGCATAACCCAGAGCAGTCTGTCCTCTCTCATCTTTGGCATCTATCAAAGCTCCATTCTTCAAAAGCATTTTGACCAGGTCACTGTCATTTTTTAGGGCAGACATGTGCAGAAAGTTGTGTCGATTTTTGTGTCGTCTTGCCTCTTCCTCCAGGATGCTCTTCAGGACGTGTGTGTGGTGGTTCTGATTGGCCAAATGTAAAGGGGTTTTACCTTCTTGATCTAAGCTGTACATATCGGCACCAGCTTGGAGCAGCATTTTCACAGCTTTTCCATGACCTTCCTCAGCAGCTCTGTGGAGTGGAGTTCTTCCTTTTTTATCCTTTACTTCCAGCTTGGCACCTTTGCTGATTAAGTAGTCAATTATTTTAGTGTGGCCATGAGCGGCTGCAATGTGTAAGAGGGTTTCATTTGCAGAGTTCACTGCATTAACCTCATTCTCCTTTAAGTATTTTTCCAAATCAGAAAGATTACCTTTAGCAACAGAATCAAAAACATTAGGAGATTTAAGACCAGGGTCTATGGATTTCACTGTTGCTGAAACTTGTTTTTCTTTATGCTTGACTCGAACTAGTTTCTGTGGTTTCACCAGTATCTGCCTAGGGCTATCTTTCTTCTCTTGCTGAATATCCTTGTCTTTTTGAACCCATCCTTTATCTTTCTCAAGAAGGTAGCCTATCAGCTGCCTTCTTGCATCTCCAATTTTTGCATTCACATCGCTGACATAACCCCTGATCTGGTTGTACAGATGTGGTTCAATCTCTTTCAGACATGGATAAAAGAACAGCCTGCAGGCTCGCTCACCTTGAGAAGCCAAGATATCCAAAACCCGAGAATTCTTTGCTCTTCTTGTTCTGTAGTAGGACAAGATCAATTTTTTCTCTGGGGTAAAAATGCCATATTCTATCAAGCAGTTGAGAAGGTGATCAGGATTATTTATGCCTTCTACAAGTTCATTCTTTTTCATTCTCAGTACTTCTGTGGCATACGGATTTATGAACATACTCATTGTATGCATCATGCAGATTATTTATCCTAAATCCATTAGGCATTCCTTTGCAGGTCAATATCTACCAGAGAAAAATGTTCATCATTACAAAGGACAGTCCAAGCTGCTTACACAAACACCATCCTGGTTCAATTGGAAACCTCTGGAGCCACCATGGACAAAAAAGAAAAGGAGAGAAGGAAAGCATAAACTCTTCACCTTTCTTGTGCAATGCTGTTGCCTTCTGATCCTCTTTTCTATTGCTTAACAACAGACTGAGTTGACAGATGTAAGAAAACAAAACAAAACTCAGCAGACATATTCCAGTAAATGTGGCAGCGTTGTAGATTCTGTAGATAAAATGAGGAGGAAAACTGTGTTTTCAAAACTGGTAGCTAAGCTATTGATGGAACCGAAACTTTTTTCCCCTGTGTAGCCCATCTGTCAAACTTGTCAGAAGAAAACCAGCAGGCTAGATACTGTTGCTATGTAATTAGGCTTTGTGTAATGTTAAGATAAACTTGCATACTCCTGAGTTAGTTACACAAAGGCATATCACACAGTGCTTGGGAGCTGTGGTGCTATGTTGCCAAACAAAAACAATCCACAGAAGAGTAGTGATAAAAAGGTAAGTTTCATGTTCCAAAGATTTTAAGTTGTCAAACATTGTAGACATACTACAGGATAATATAGTCTTATTGCTGTGATAGAACTTTAATACTTGTCACATAATCAAGAAATATGACTCTAAGCCCCTGCCTTAAACATGTAGTATTTTTTTTTCAATGCTATGAGAGCACATTTTTTTGTGTTTTCATAAAGGAAAAGTTGAGAATGTGTCTGACCTCAAGGTGGAATGTATTATAACAATTTGAGGATTTTCAGATGTGGGCATTGTGGTGATGGTTTGTAAAGCCCCATCTACACTGTCATACAGTGCAGTTTCAGAATGCAGTTCAGCTACATTGAACTGGATTATATGAGTCTATACTGCCATATAAAGCATTTAAACTGCATTCTAAAACTATGTTATATGGCAGTGTAGATGGGGTCTAAGAAAGCAAGGCATTTAAAGTATGTCAGGAGGGAAACTATGATGCTCTACACCAGCATTCATTCACATGATAGTGTCTCCTTGTAGACTGCATACACACACACACACACAGGACAGTAGTGGTCAGAAGACCATTTCTAGTCTCACAGATACATTTGTTATTTCTTATCATGTTCCTTCAAGAGGTTTGCAAGCCTGCCGTAGGCTTTTCCTGGTAAAATTTCTTCAGAGGTGATTTGCCATGGTTTTGCTGAGAAGGTCAAAACAACACATTAGAGAGGCAACACGTTTTGTTTTAAAAGATAAGCTACACATACTTCCTGGGGCACAAGCTCTCCCCTTTAAAATAAAAACAATGGGCTTCTTGGAGCTGTTGGGCAAGAGGACTGAACAGCTCTTCTTCCCATGAAGCTTGTTTTCTGCTAGCTTCTGACCCTGATCAGTGCCATAAAAAAAGCAGACACAAACACGTATAAACACCCAGCATCTTGAGAAGTACAGCCATATATAATGTCCATAGGCCATTATTATTATTATTATTATTATTATTATTATTATTATTATTACCTCACTTTCCCCTCAGTGTTGGGACTGAAAAATATCGGAGGTTAAAATAACTACTGTATATACTCATGTATAAGTCATGGACAAGTTTTGGTGCCAAAATTATGGATTTTGATGTGATCCATGAATAAGTCATTCTGCAGAGAGAGGAAAGCACAAAGCAGAGAGAGTAGATGGGGTTGCTGCTTCTTTTGGGTTCTCAGGGACAAACTTTTGCCATTCTACTCAGAGATAATTCCTCCTTTTATGTATGAGCATTGAAATGCAGTGTTTTCACTTATCCATGGACACAGAGATCTAGGCTTTTGACTTAAATTTGTAGACATATTCATGAGTATATAGAGTATAATATAGGCAAAATCAACAAAAGTCAACATTAACAGTCCTGTCAACTCACAGAGGGCTTCCATGAACTTCTAACAATTAGAACAGTTCACCACTGTATCACCTATATCATGAAACAATGTGAAAAGTGATGTACAGCATCAGTGACTTGGAGAGCAATGCCCCCCGTCACTCTCAGAACTGTCCAGACAGTATCTTTATCCCAGGAGCTTCTGCAGCAATCAGGAGTGTAGCCAGATGCCATTCTCTGTAAAACCGAAAATAATCGCAACAAAAGGCAAAAAACATGAGATTTCCAGGTACGGGAACATCGTGAGTTTTAACCAAATGTCCGGATCTTTGCATGTCTGTATGTCCTTGCAATAAAAAATAATGGGATTTTTTATTTGGTTTTGTTCCCGGGTTTTAGATGCTTGTTCCTGATTGGCCAGTTCCTTAAAAGAAGGTAACACTTGAGTAGAAGGCAAAAACTTTGTTTGTGTGCCAGGAACTTCATGAAACATGTGGAGGGCACATTTTCTTGGCCAGACAAAGCTGTGGCCCCCTTAGTCAATGTTGTATGCATATATCTTTTCACAAGAAGATAAGGACAGCCATGTACAACCCAGGAACGTCACCCTGTTGTTCTATGCCACTAGTACACTACTAAACCCATCTGGACAGATGGCCAGGCAGCCTGCAAAAAGTGACAATAATTACAAAGTTCTGTTCCTAGTTTGAAAGTGTATGTTCCTGTTCCATTGTGTATTGCTGACTTGGACAGAAGTAGTCCTACCCTGAAAACATTATTTGTTTGGCAGATACTTTATAAAACATGTGGAGGGCACAGCTGCAGATATGCGGATATGTGGATGTCTGCCTATCCGCATATCCGGGCATCCGAACCTCCAGGGTTTTTTACTACAGGCTGAAGGAGGGACATTGAAGTGCTAGAGAGGAAAATAAATACTGAGAGCCCAGGTCATGCTGGTACCCCTAGTCATCTGCCCAGGCATGGGTTCAAATCCTTTTCTATGAAGGACTTTGGAGACTTGTACACAGAAAAGGGATAACACACACAGCACAGCATCCACACAGTTTGATAGATAATTATCAATATCAAGACCCACAAATTGAATAATTTTTGTGGATTGTTCCAATGTTCCCAAGTGTCCATGCTATAATAGTCTATGGTTAGAGGAGACCTTTCAGGACCACAACTGTTAGAATCTCCCATTTAAATTACATTCAAATTTAGCATTTGAATTAGCACTCCATGAAATCCTGGCTACTTGGCCCTTTGTATCAGAGTCAAATGTAACCACTAAAGCATTTCAAGACATTTTGTTTGTTTCATCTTGTAAGGTCCAATAACAGGGCCACTAAGCTAAATCAATCACCACTTGAAAGAGAAAGATGGGTGTTTCTTAGCTAATTGTTTAGTCTTTGTAGCTGGCTTTGAAGCTCTGTGTGCTTTGAAGCTTCATGGAGTGTTGGTTTTGTTTTAATCTTTGAGTTGAAGATGTTTCTTAATTAATGCAAGAGTCTGTTTTCAAAACATACTTCAGCAACATAAAATATGTTTAACATGCCTTCCTTTCACTATCCTCCCCTGCCAATAAGGAGAACAAATGAGTTTCTATGAAAAATCCAGAAGAGGTCACTCTTTCCCTTTGAGCGCATTCAACGGCCACACTTGGCGGTGTGCTTTAGGCTAATTGGAGACCTGGAACCTGTTAAACTGGCATGCCATGTAACCGAATGGTTTCCAATACCTTCCTTACATTCCCTAGGGTGTTTGGTTTGACATAACAGCTGGAATAAATGAACATAAATCTATCAATAGTAAGTTAAGTCATGATCTTGATGCTTCCCAGAATGAATTTCAATTTCAGATTCGGTCGCAGAAACACAATACTTACTTATTCTAAAACCAGTTCTTTACTGAAAACATTCAACCTCTTTATTATGAACTAGTGAATGTGAAAGTGTGACACAAAACCGTCAAACATTTTCACTTTCAATGGTGGCATTGGTCTAAATTCATTTGCTAGTCCCAAATATGATATTCCCATTTCCATTGATTCAGCAGACTAATTTAACTGAAACTAACTATCAGATTTAGCTTGTTCCAAAAAAGTTTATGCTTCAATAACAATATATAAATATATAAGAATGTGCAAAGTGTTATCACACATGGAAACAGGACATTCTTTAGTTAACGAGAGCTGTAAACTAAGTTTTGACAGGTAAAGAAAAATCGGTCCACTTATTTATTTACTATATTTATACCCCACCCTTCTCACCCCGAAGGGGACTCAGAGCAGCTTACAAGTAGGCAACAATTCAACGCCACATAAAACAGATATACAAATAAAAACATATACATTAAAAATCCAAAAGTTAAAAAAAATCTAAACATTAAAACCAATAATTAAAATCACACAATCCAAAATCATAGTCCAGGGGTCATTCCAATTGTAACTGCACTTATTCTGTATCCACTTATTCCACTGAATTATTGTTCAAAGGCTTGGCCCCACATCCACATTTTTACTTTCTTTCTAAAGATCAGGAGGGAGGGAGTGGATCTGATTTCACTGGGGAGGGAGTTCCACAGCCAAAGGGCCACCACTAAGAAGGCCCTGTCTCTCGTCCCCACAACTGCACCTGCGAAAGAGGTGAGACAAACAGCAGGGCCTCCCCAGAAAAGGACCTCCCTATGAGGTTGTTCATAGAGGGAAATACGTTTATTTATGTATTTAATTTAGGAGTTGTGTGCTCCCTGTTTGCCGCTCCCGTTAGCAACATGGCTGCTGCTCGCTGGACCATCTGGAGTTTCCGGACAGTCTTCAAAGACAACCCCACGTAGATAGCTGAGCCAGAACTGTTTAGGGCTTGCACCAGTGTTGTAAATATGTCTGTTATTTTGAAAACTGTATCAGGTCTGTTGACAAATTTTAATGTTGTTTGGTCTTTATTTGTTCAGTCCCTTCTGACTCTTCATGACCTCATGGAGCAGGCTATGCCAGAGCTCCTTGTTGGTCGTTGCCACCCCCAGCTCCTTCAAGGTCAAGCT